AGTTATAGAAAACACAAAATTCAGATTGCCACTTCATTATTTGTGTGTGTGTGTATCTGTGTGTACACAGAAGTTCTCTGACCTTCACTTTTGTTACCTGTGATACTGAAACAGCTAGTCTAAACGCTCTTTCCGAGACTATTAGATAAAATCTCCAAAGCACTGGTCCATTGTTTTGTCAACAGAACAAGGAGCGTGACATGGATAGAGTCCTTGTATTTACCGTGTGAAATACTGAGGACCTGCATCCTATCATCAGGCCCCATCATGTTCCTGAACTTGGAACATGGAGAAGCTGAGTTGCCTATTATCGCAGCAAGGGAATGAGCACTCTCCCAATGATGCTTGACATTAAATCCAAAAAGTCTTGTATAAATGAAAGCCAGAAAACCAAGAGGCAATACTCAGACTTCAGGGCCCAGACAGGCAGATGTCAAGAAGTCACCAACCAACCATGACAAAGACCTACACCCACCATACTCACTCATGCCAATGCCAACCACACATGTCCTGTAATGAAGCACAACCAAACGTGTGACTTTTCTGGAGTGGGCCAGGGTATGTTTGTAAAATATGTTTTCTATGGACTGCACTTGAATCTCTGTCAAGCATGCCTTCGAAAAGGCAGCAAAGAAAACGTTTTCCTAACAGTCAGAAGGGATGGGAGTAGACCTTGTCGGAGAGGCTCTCAGCTTTTAGCTTCTGCTCCTTGAGAGCCTGCTGTAGAGCCAGGATCTCGGCCTTGTGCTCCTTCACCGCCAGCTCTACCACTTGACGTGACTCGGTGATCCGCTGGTCGGCTCTTGCCCTGCAGAAAGATACAGGCTTGCTTTCAGAAGCCAAACCACCACCGAGCTGGAGGAGGGCAACTGCCCACCTCTAACCCCGATAAGCAACCAAATAGTCTGTGGATTGATGACCAACTTCAACTCCTGTTTCCAGACTATGTCTTCTTTTCCAACAGTTTACAGCGTAAATATCTGAACCACTTTGGGCCCTGGATGGAAATACCCTGGAAAGGCACAGCTCCTGTGAGTACTCACTTGGAACAGCTGAAGGGGAAAAATCATCTCCAAATGCAACTGGGCAAAACAGGATGTGTCCTAGAGACTGTCCCATCCTCCCCTGAAGCAGAAATGGAAGGCACGCCTCATCCCACTGAGGTCCCACTCAGGAAAACATGTCATGCAAGAAGTGTTCTGGGTGCTGAGGAAACTGACACTTGACTTAAGCTTATGTTGTTGGTAGGTGTCATCGCGTTGGCCCCTGACTCACAGCGACCCCATGCCCAACAGGACTGGAGTACTATGACCCACAGAGCTTCCACTGGCTGACCTTCAGAAACAGATCACCAGGCCTTTCCTCCTTGTCCACCTGAGTCTGGAAGCTCCACTGAAATCTGCTCAGCATCCTAGCAACACACAAGCCTCCAACGACAGGTGGGTAGCAGCTGAACGTGAGGTGCATCGTCCGGAACTGAACCCAGGTCTCCCCCACGCTTTTGTTCTTGTTGTCTGCCATCGAGTCGGCCTCAACTCATAGCGACCCCTCCTTGGGTTTCCAAGGCAGTATCACTATGGAAGTAGATTGCCCAACCTTCCTTCGGAGGAATGGCTGGTGGGTTTGAACCGCCAGCCTTTTGATCAGCAGTCAAGTGCTTTAGGCACTATGCTACCAGAGCTCCTGGTGTCCCACATGGAAGGTGAGAATTCCACCACTGAAGCAACACTTCCCAAAATCATAAATAAGTTTAGAGAAAAGAAAAACAGGATTGAAATTGGAAAACTTACTCCCCCTCCCCATTTATGCGTGATGTTTTCCCACCTCCACTACTTTGCTTAAACAATCTCCTCCACTGGGAATACTCTGCTTCCCTATTCAACATGCTCGCAGCCCATTCAGCCTTCAAGGCTCAACTCAAACGTTTCGCCCTCCATAAAGCTTTTCGCAATTCCTCCTCTAAAAGGAACCTCTCCTTGCTCTGTAGCCCCAAAGAACATTTCAATGCAAAATTTACTTCCTCTACTAGACTCTCCACCTCTCGAGGATGTGGCCTGTGGGTTAGATCTGTGGGTACTCATCTCAGTACCCACATACCAAAACAGGAAAAAAAGAGAGGGGACAAGACCTTCCATAATTACCCCTCAAAGTGGGCAGGAAATGTTGCCTTAAGCATAGCCCATAATGACATCTTCCATGTGTACTTCCTGATGCTGAATCAGATTCCTACCCCAAACATTGTCTCTGCAAGCTCTTAGAAACAGCTGGAATAAGAGCTGGACTTGGTGATGGCAAGGGAGGGGCCAGTGTAAGAGCCGCCAGAACTTATAGTGAGGATGAAGGGAAAACCAACAGCCCACAGAGAGGGGCAGGAATAAACCACCGCCACTGCCACTGCCACTGAGTTGATTCTGACTCATAGCAACCCCCACTGGGTTTCTGAGGTAGTAAATCTTTATAGAGCAGATTGCCCCATCTTCCTTCTACGGAGCAGCTGGTAGGTATGAAGCACCAACCTTCTGGTTAGCAGCTAAAGGCTGTAGGCACTGCCCACCAGAGCACCTTAGGGCAGGAATAGGAATCTTTAAAACAGCAGCCTGTCACACTGGCAAATACCCTGAGTGGAAAGATGTCCGAAACAGGAAGACTTCTACTAGTTTCTCTAGAAATATAAGGATTTTCATCTTCTGTCTCTAATCTTTTCTAGTTTAATTGAACTTAGCTAGACTATTCTTCCAGCACATTGATCTGAGTCTACTATGACCAAGCAAATGCAGGAGACACTAAAATGAGCCTGACACAGTCCAGCTGGGTGAGGAATATTCCCATGCAGTTCATCTTGCCTAAGGTGGTCGAGTATCCAGGGAGGCCAGTTTCAGAGGAAGGTGATTTTAGCAAGGATATTAAGGATGGACACAATTCACTTGTGCAGACATGGGGTCACAGTGCTGACACCAGTCCATATGGTGTTGCTTTGTTAATGGGGAAAAGGCGTCCCACCCCTTCTTCTAGACCAATTTCTACCTGCTGAAATCTGCCCCAGTCTACTGATTTTGTTAGAATAAAACACTTCGCTGCCATTAGCTTTAAAATAATTTGTGAAATAATTGGACACTGTTGTTGTTGTGTGCCGTTGAGTCGGCCCCAACTCATAACGACCCCTCCTTGGGTTTCCGAGGCAGTATCACTACAGAAGTAGATTGCCCAATCTTCCTAACGAGGAGTGGCTGGTGGGTTTGAACCGCCAGCCTTCTGGTTAACAGTCAAGTACCATCTCTGCCTTCCGTGTGAATGGCACCTCTGGGGCTGAGAGGCACGTAACCTGCACAGTCGTAGCCCCGGGAGGAAGTAGACTGCAGAATAACAGTGAGAAAGCAGAGAGCTGACTGCCTGAATGGATTATCACCATTGCCTGTGAAGAAAGAGGAAAACCACACTGTTCCTGTAGAGCAGTGGTTCCCATCATGGGGACACTGGCCAATGTCTGGAGACTTTTTTGGTTGTCACAACTGAGAGGAGAGGTGCTATGGCATCTAGTGGGCAGAGGCCAAGGATGCTGTTCAACTACTTACAGTGCACAGGACAGCCCCCCACAGAGAATTAACCAGGTTAAAATGTCAATAGCTCACAGGTTGATAAAACCTTGGTGCAGACGGAAAAGAAGCATGTCATCATGACCAGGATTACATGGTGACAGCCTTGCTACATGGTCACAGTTACGAGAAACCAGATGAAAATATTTCTGCAAAGAGAACATTGAGAATTTGCTGTGCTCTGACTCGCAAGCCTCAGAACGGGTAAATGGACGCCATCTACTACTACCTCAGAATCCAGCTGACACCATCCATATTCCTAACGAGGGTGACTAACTCATCCCAGTTTGCCAAAGATGTTCCTGGTTTCAGCACTGAGTATCTCACACCCAGGAAAGCTCTCAGTCCCAGGTAAGCTGGGACCTGGGGTCACAGTCTGGGATCTGGCTACAGTCACTTGCCATTGGCTTCCTACAGACAAAATGTCCCACCTGCTCTGCTTCTCAGTGTCCAACATCCTCTGCAACTCTCGCACTCGACACTCAAACTGGGACTTCTCGTCACCAAGGACGCTCCTCCATGCCTCCCACTGCCGCTCCTTCTCCAGCAGCTCGTCGTTCAGGGCCTCCAGATCCATAACCTGCTCCTCCAGCATTGTGCACGTGGTCTTCAGAGCCTCCATCGTCTGCAAATCAGTACCACTGAGTTGTGCCTTGTATCAAACGAGGAGTTCCTGGATGTTACTTTTGTCAGGTCAGTTTCAGAAAAGCACAACTTTCTAACTACAGTCCTGAAATACAGTTTTTCTTTGTCTTCGACAGCCCAAGGGGGCTGGAAGAGAATGGATGGAGATCCATGTCTGGGCAGAAAACCAGAGCAAGGCCAGAGGGAAGAGGCAAAGTTTAAAAACAGTGGCACATACTGGCCTCCCAAAGCATTCTATTTTCAAGTTTAAAACTAGTACCAAAAATTAAAGTTAAGAAGGGACACACACTTTAAAAAGCTATTTTTAAAACTTCTAACATCTCAAAACATGTGACTGTAGAAAGAGTCTGTTTACTGGACAGGCTTATGCTCAGAACCCTCAGGAGAGATGCACCAGGCTGCCACCGCCACCACCACCACCACCTGCCACCAAGATGACAACAACTCATGGCGACCCCATGTGTGTGAGAGCAGAGCTGTGCTCCACAGGGTTTACAATGGCTGGTTTTTTGGCAACAGATCACCAGGGCTTTCTACCACAGCCTCTGGGAGGACTCAAGCCACCAGCCTCTGAGTCAGCAGCTGAGCAAGCTGACCGTCGGCCCCACCCAGGGCCGTGCATTAGGTACTCCTTCTATAATCTGAAGGCGATCAAAGTCCTCCAGGGAGCTCCTAACATTGCCCCCCGCTCCTTACTTGCTTCTGGCTGGTAAGCTGCATCTCCCTCTCGGTGATCTCCCGACGGAGGTGATCCACTTCACTGCGCAGCTGCGCTATCTCGTCGTTGGCACCAGAAGCCTCGTCAAGTTGTTTGGACAAGTAGAAGTTTTGGTTGTTGAGCTCGGCGTTGTCCTCTGTCAGCTGGTTTAGCTGCTCCTCCAGGTCGGTGATTACCTACAAGAGGAAGGGGACTTGACTGCACACAAAGCAAGTCACTTGCAAATGAGAAGCTGTTTCTACAGCCATCAGTGTTTCAACCGAAGCAGCACTGGCAATCAACGTGCAGCTCAGGGGTTTGCGTACCCATCCCTGAGAGTCAGAGACAAGCTCTCACTCCTACCCACTGAGCTCCAACACACACTCTAGGTTAGGAAAAAAATAAGAGGAGGAAAGCATAGGTTTCTAACTCAAGGTTCATCTGGAAAACAAGGCAAATGCAAAGCACACAAAAGCGACTGCTGTCACGAAAGGGCAACGTCCAATAAGATGAAGGTAATGGACAATAATATGTGGAAAATGCAAAGGAGAGAGGAATCATAAAGACACTGGTATAAAAATCAGGTAATTAAGCTAAAAATGTCCGCGATACCATCTATAGAACATTGTAATTGGCGATGGAGCTGAGAAAGCAAAATAAAGTTCTTATCAAGGAAGGCTGACAATGAAGGACACGAGGAGTTATTTTAATAAAATCACTGGCAATAAATTTAATTTCATGCAAAGGTAAAGAAAAACTTAAGGGAAGCTCAGAATAATCCTGAGAATATGATATTGTACTATAGATTCACATTAATGGTTTTTACTATACAGTTAGCTATCAGAAAATGGGAAGGCACGTATCGGAAACTGTCATTTTACTGAGAGAGATTTAATTTGGTTTTGCTGAATTATTTCCCTGTTCAAAGGTAGAATGACTTCCATTTCAGTGCACCCAGCTTCCTATTCTCTGTGCTGATGTTCACTATCAACTCTTATGGAGAGCTTTTAGGATGTAATACTTTCAAAGTTTAAGGGCAATTTTCTAATAATAGTTGGAGTGAGGCACACAGGCAGTAAATGAAATTTTATATAACCAAAAAAAAAAAAAGGAAATTAAAAGGAAATGCTTTTAAGCCTGCAATTATTAATTGTTTCCAATTTCCAAATCTAGAGTAGACTTAGCTTATGAAATGTTGCCATTGTTTCTACAACTAATTCTCTATTTTAATACCCTTTGATAATCTATTAAAAAAAAAAAAAATCTTCCCAGGCACACAGAATTAAAGAGATCAGTTAAATACGTTTGTTCAGCATGACTCAGAAACCCCAGATTTTCATCTTGTTAACTGAGCAGATAACCTTTTATTGTAATAAGCTGGTTACTAATCCATTTGTTTAACGTCAAAAGCCATGTTAATTCCTAGTGTACTGGTTTGAGGTACACTGTCAGCTACAAGAGGGTGACTAAAGGTTATCTAGCTAGGTTCTCAGCTAAGACTCCTTCTTTATCAGGGGAGTAACAGAAAATAGTACATGTTTGTCATTCCCAGCAGGCAGTTATGCCTCACAGGTATCTCTGTATCATCCTTCCGCAACATGGTTAAATCTTCTCAAAAAGAAACAATGAATAAATGACTTGTTCAAGTGGTCTCCCTTCTATTTGTTGGTAATCCATTCCTTATGACAGTTTTTCATCCTACACTGTGAAAGTCTCCACTGAACAACTGTGTTTCCTTCTCCTTACTTCCCAAGCAACTAGCCGGGCAGATAAACTATAAAACAGATTCTGGTCTCACCTTTGCAGAATGGCACCCAAAGAACCTCACATAAGGTACCTTGAACCTGGCTGGGTTGGCTTTTCCATCTGTGATACAGAGATAAAGACTACATGATTCACTACCTGATCCATGTGCTTTTTTTTTAATTTCCTGCATACTTTTCTACCTTATCATGTAAAATACAAGGAATAAAAATTTGTGACCAAGATGACGGTTCATTTTAAAGATTACGATGGGACCGCTCAGGGAACAAACAGATCCACAAACAAAAATCTATTTACGTAATAATACACACATTGCCAGAATGATTTGTCATCTGAAGACAGATTTAACCTTTTGGGTACACACTTCCTCTCTCTGGTTTATGGAAAAAAATTAAGTAAATAATGCAATTTATTATGAGCCCATTTCTGCCACCTCTTCTCCTCCTCCCAAAACTAGATTGCAAAGTACTTTAAAAAGAAGTCAATAGAACAAAATACATAAAAGCCTTGTTTCTCATCCTACATTGGTGAGTAGTGACTGGGACCTTAAAAGCTTTCAAGCGGCCCTCTAAGATGCACCTAATGGTCTCATATCGTTGGAAGCAAAGAAGAGTGCAAAAAGAAACAAGGGATTTGGAAGCTATCAGCCCTAGGACACAACGACCCTTGAGACCAGAAGAACTAGACAGTGCCTGGCTACTAATGCCAACCATTCAGGAAAGGATCAAATCTGGAAATTCTTGATAGGGTAGGAGGAAAAACATGGAAAAAAATCCAAAAACTCAATAATGACCAGAATTACTGGTCAGATGGAATCTGGTGAGATCCCCCAATACTATGCCCCTGGGATACATTCTGGGCCTGGAATAAAAATAGAAAAAGGAAAAAAAAAGAAGTCAATGGGAGTCAAGATGATTTCTCCTCACTTCGGTGGGGATGTGACTGGTGGAGTCTCCTTGTTATCAGAGTGTTCAAGGGGCTCTGTCTCTGCTTTCCGTTCCAGGTTGTGGCTGCTAGCTCTCTATTTGGTCAGCGTCCCTATTCTGCCCATTTGACAAGAGGATCCTGTGTCTGTGTGAAGCACCCACACAGCGACTTAAAGCATTTTAACTCATTCGGACGTTTTATGTTTTCCATCTGCTCAAGCCAGAATATGCTTCATTTGTGATCTTGTTTTTGGAGTTCTGGTATTAAGTGTTAGACACACCCACCCACACCCACCCACACACACTACTAAGTTTACAAATAGTAAACTTGAGAGCTGAGACAGAGGCAGTAAATTAATAATTCCACGGTTTAAAAACAGGTAGGTAGGCAGTCAGATAGATAGATAGATAAACAGACTGGCAGACAGATAGATAGATAGATAGATAGATAGATATAGACAGACAGATAGGTAGATAAGGCAAAGTTCATAACCAGCTAATGAAATAGGTGTTTTTTAATTCTCATTTTATAGATGGGGAAACTGGAGCAACAGGGAGGCCAAGTAACTTGCATAAGGTCACTAAGCTAATAAATAACCAAGCCAGGCTATGAACCCGGGCACGCTGGCTCCTGAATCTACACTATTACCCACTACACTCTATTGCCCCCGAACACAGGAAGAGAAAAAAACCACTGCCATCAAGTCAACTCTGATTCACAGGAGTCACCATTGGGTTTCCAAGGCTTACATCTTTATAGAAGTAGATACTCTCATCTTCCTCTTGCAGAGGAGTTTGAAACACTAACCTGGTTAGCGGCCAAATGCCTTACCCACTACGCCACCAGAGCTCCTTAAATATAGGAAGAGAAGTGTTTGGTCAATGTTTCTTTCAGGCCCTTGAAAACTTAAATGATAGAGGAAATTGTATCTACCATCCAGGATAATGCTTCTCGATTTTGAATCAAGTAACGTGCAAGAATTCCTAGGTCTACTCCGTGCCCACAGTTCTACGGTCTCCACACCAAGGGCAATCGGTCTGTTTGCTATTGTGTCTGCTAATCTTTCAGTCCCACAGAGAGAGCGAGCAAAAAAAAGGCAAAATGAAAAGGCTGATTCTTGGCAGTAAAAAAAGATGAGGGCGATAGCTTCATGATGCAGGTAGCCAGCAAGGCTTGCTTAGGGGCTGTTTTTAGATGTAAGAGATCTTGGTGCAGTTCTAAGAAAAAAACAGAGATATAAAAATCAATCTACTCTGTGTCAGAAATAAAAAACTGAAGTCTCGGTTGGGGTTATTGTTGCCTTCTCAAGGCTGGCATGCAAAACTCATGGTTCTAAGTAGATGTTAACCCCTCATATCTAACAGGGGACCAGGACAGGAGACATTACCAGCTAAATGTCCTATGGCATGTTGGGGGTAAAGAAACCAGTCAAATAATTGGCATCAGGTTAGAAAGACACACGACTGAAGTCCTATTTTAATGCTTAGCTCTTTCTTGAAGGCGGCTATTTGCATATTATTTATTTTTAATCTTATAGCTGACAGATTGATTCATAATTAAAACTGTGTCATATGTTTGCCCACCAACTCCCCTCCAAACCAGACTTAGGTAGGGTTTGAGGTGCCAGATTGAATCAATTCCTTTTTTAAAATCTCTTCAAAATACAGAAATGGTTTGAGCATGAAGATCTTACTGTCCATGAGCCTTCTCCAAGCTGTTGACTGCGGGGTCCTATCAATCAGGCCAATATGGGAGCTGCCACCAGTAATGAACATGGCATTTCCTAGCAGAGACCACTGGGAGCAGATCTAAAAAGAAAAGTGTGTCTACCACGTTCCTCCAAAGTATCTTTAAAGCAGCCTTTGAACTTGCAAGAGTATAACTGAGATCAACTACTTCTGCTGTTTTTAAAGCCGTGTTTTTCAAATTTTTAAAAGCAGCAAAACAGTTTTCCAGACAAAGAAATAAGTCAGAAGCCCAAAGTAATAATACACCTACTTCTTATTTGTCAACTCTCTCATTATCTGACATTTGACATTTACGACAACAGTAACAAATCCATAGTCTGACTATTTTGCTCATTAATGATGTATGTCTGGCCGTAATAAATGTCCAGCTGTGGGGCGAGAGTGATGCTGCCTGCGATGGTTAAGGTTACGTGTCAACTGGCTGGGCAGGGCGATGAAAGCATGTGAGGGCCCCAAACACGGGTAATTACGATGCTCCCTCCTCTGCTTACTCACGCGTCTGAATGGGATATGTGCGTTATATATATACATGTGTACATAAGTGTGTGTGTGTATTAGCTATCCACAATGTAACTTCTTTTGAAATGTGACTATAATATTAGCAATTGAACACAAACACTTTAGAAGGACGCAAAGAACAGGATTATAAAGTTTTTAGTGAATGTGGGGTACTAAGATTTTTTACTACATATCACATTTTCTAAAACAAGAATATTCCACATATTCTACAACAAAGAAAATGAGCCAGTGAATTCTGTTGTTTCAACAATCAATGTAAAATTCTGTTGATCTCTCACAACAAAAAACTTGACTTTCACCAATTTTGCTGTAGACGGCTCATACTCTAATTTTGACGCTTGTTTCATAATAAATGCTATACTTATAAATGAACAAATGAAAAGATGTCACAGAAGAAAATTCAATGATCGGAAAACAACAGCGCGTGTGGGCGCCCTCATGACCCTGTGTGCACTTTGTCTCTGGCCAGCACATCTTCACACGTGGGAGCTGGTGTTAGTCTCCACTACTGTCCTGCCTGCTCCCTTCCACTGAGGTGCTCACTTTTCTGTGCATCCTATCTGCTTGGTATCCATAGGTCTTTGCTTTGGACAAATGATGTCTGTTTTGTTGATGCCCTAAGCAAGTGCTTACCTTGCTTACTGGGTAACCTGTCCCTGTGGCCGGGCCCTGATCCTCAGTGGTTTGGCAGTTCTGTAATGATGGAGTCATCCTGTATTTTGTGATCTGATGTGGTCATCCTCCATTTTCACATAATGCTAATTTTCACGTAACGACCCTGATCCCTGATCCCTGGAACCTAACCATGTTGGTAAGTGAGAAGTGTGGTGTACAGTAAACCCGCAAACACTGGAACTTGTATAAGATAGAAACCTGTCAGAGAAGGAAAATGGAAATGTTTTCTCCTTACAGAGAGCGACTGAAGGTGGTAAGCCATACCCTGTCAAAGCAGAAAACTCGTGGGCCCGGGAAAGACAAGGAGTCCTGCTAAGCTCCAGCTCTCATGGTTCTCCTGTGCTAACAGTCACCAACGCTGTTAGCACTTCCGATGTGCCAAGCCCTGTGCAAGCACTTTGCCTGCAGCAAGCACATGAGGCAGGGATTATTACCCAATTACTTTCCACTATTCCTGAAATGTGAATATATCTTAGAGCTGATAAGGGGTCTTCCTTCCCACCTAGAACCCAAAAAAGCAGTTATCAAATTAATTATGCATCTACAACCAACAGCATATTGAAACTGAGGATATACAATGTCATCCCCCATTTACAGACAAAGAAACAGAGGCGTAGGAGGATAACGTCGCATAGGTTACTAAGAGGCCCATTTGGAATATGAACCCAGTTGGCCAGACTCTAAGACACACAAGACAGACCACTAAGACATATAGCTTTCTCTAATATGTGGGAGGGGGGGTTTCCCCTCTCAGTTGTGGAGACCCCCAGAGACTTCCCCACAGAATGTCAGAACTAAGGGAAGCAAGGATTAAGAACCACTGTCCCTGAAAAAACAAATCTGAAGGATAAGTAGAGAATAAAAGTTACATGTGTTAAGAAAGTAACCAAATGAGTTTTGCATAGTGATGGGGGTGGTAGTATGACTGGCCATCAGATCCTCACGACGCATGGTGACCCCACGTGTGCAGAGCAGAACTGCTCCAAGGGGCTTTCAAGGCTGCAGCCCTTGGGAAGCAGATCACCAGGCCTGTCCTCTGAGGCACCGCTGGGTAGGTCTGAACCAGCCAGCAGCTGTACACTTAATCATCACAAGTCAACTTACAATTCAGTAATGGGGGTAAGGGAAATCACAAAGGGGTACAAGGAAACTTTTTGGGGTGGAAGATGCTTATTATTTTAACTGTTTCAATGGTGCCCCAGGTATGAACACACAAGTCAAAATTCATACACTCTGTACATCAGTTATACCTCAAAAGAGTTGTAAAACAAGTTTTTTGTTTTTGTTTTTTAAGTTTTTATGCCAAAAGACTAAAAAGGAGAAAAGAGAACTTCAGGCCAGTGGAAAAATATTACTGAGGTGCACATTTAAAATACATTCAGTTTTATTTTAAGAAAAAAAAAAAAAAAAACCCACAGACATAAAGTCGCCTAAGGCATTTGACTGCTAACTAGAAGGCCAGCGATTCAAACCCACTCACCACTCCTTGGAAGGACAGTTGGGCAATCGATCTACTTCTGCAGTGATACTGCCTCGGAAACCCAAGGTCACTATGAGTCGAAACTGACTTGATGGCAGTGAGTTTTGTTTTGTTTTTATATTTGATTCATCATTTATGAGCATGTATGTAATACAGGCATAACTCTTATGTTAAAATTAGAAACCAAGACAATAAGAAATAAAAAACTAGGGCAGAAGAGTACAGGAACAGAATCCACCAACTCCTCAAGGAAACAAGGAGAGAACAGAGGCAATCAGCAGACATTTCTAAGGTGGGCCTGCCCTCCCTGATTCAGCCATAAACCAAAAACGCAGTGCCACTGAGTCAACTACAACTCATAGCATAGCGACTCTTTAGGACAGAGTAGAACTGCCTGATAAGGTTTCCAAGGCTATAAATCTTTACTGAAGCAGACTGCCCCATCTTTCTCCTGTGGAGCGGCTGGTGGGTTCAAACTGCCAACCTTCCGGTTAGCAATCAAATGCTTTAACCACTGTGCTACCAGAGTTAGGCATCAAGAAATACAGGCCAAAAAACAGCCAGCCAGGTGCCTACTAGAACCAAACACAGGTACAACTCATGACCTGCAGTTCCAGTCCCAGGTATGTACTAATCAGAAATGTGCTTACAGCCACCAGAAGACTTTTGGATGCGCAAATGTTTCCCAACAGCTTCATTCATAATTGCCTCATATGGAAACAATCCCAAGGTCCACCAACAGGAGCATGGATAAACAAACATGAGTCCGCTCACACACTGGACTAGTCCACAGTAATGAACAACAACAAATTACTGACAGATACAACCACACATATCAACCCCACACACAATATACTAAGGGAAAGAAACCAAACCCAGAGGACTATGTACTCCAGGATTCCATTTTATGAAGTTTAAGAACAGGCAAAACTAACCCATGGTGATAGAGATCAGAATAGTGGTCACCCTTTAAGGCATGCTGATGAGAAGCAGACATGAGAGAGCCATCTAGGGGATGAAAATACTCTGTATCTTTACCCATGTTGTAATTTTCTACATATTTTTATATATATAAAAATGTCATTAAGCTATATATGCACTTAAGATTAAGGCAAGTCATGTACTTATTTTACACTCTCTCTCTCTCTCTTTGAATATATACATATACAAATATACACACACACACATACACACATATATTACACTGAAAATAAGGAGGAATAAAAGCATATATTGGCAGGACTCAATGTCCTCACGTATAGTAACTACAAAGGAAACCAAAGAGCTCATTACAAGAAAAGAAAATATAAACATGGGGGAAGGGTGGGGAAGTCTCTAGAAATCAATAGATGCAGATAACACAAGCAGGGACAAGAACATGAGGAACTAAGAAGGAAATAACACAGAGGAAAGGACCCAAGAGAAGAGTTGGAAATACAACTAATGCTAATATCCTCATCTTTTTCAGCAGGGGCTTATTTCAATCTTTCATTCCCTGTCAACACCAAAAATAGATGGAGTTTCCAAGGACCTTGCCCTATGATATAATCTACTGATGATGCACATAGAATTTACTTTCTCAATATAAGTAACATCTCCAGAGTTCTAGACATTGAATTTGCATGTTAGCAAGTTAAAATTCCTACATCTGCAGGGGAAGAACTGGTTGGTTTTTCTTCTCTGCAGAGTCCAAGGACAGGGAAGCCTCTCAGATGTAACAGCTCCTGGCAACTGGACAGTCTCTGGCTCAGGCTGGCTTTGAACCTCATGCACTGAGGCAGGAGGATGCAGCTGCTTTGGGACTTCTGCTGCAACTACTGAAACCTATTAGTGGTTCTGCAAAGGAAATTATTTTGACCACTCCAACTGTCCTTCTCCCCCAAAACACGAAGAATGGTTTTAATTTTTTTAAATGGCAGAAACCCAAGAAACTGAGGTTATCTAGGACTCACAAATCCATATCAGTTTGATCACATTAATTGGTACAGGTTGAAAGTCCATGTCAAAAATCAATCGGTTACACTATAAAGAGAAGTCCTCATTTCCTTGTTGGTTTTACTTTCATGTTAATTTCATCATCTTTGGTTAATACTCACAGTACAGCTGTTACGGAGAGCATCAAATTTGCGCTGGATTTCATCTCTATGTGCCTAAAAGGTAAGAAGTTGAAATAAATTTTTCATAGAGTAGAAGACATGCTACATGCTATGGATCAAATACAGAAAACAGCAATTGTCCCAGAAAGCAAAGAGTGCTCTTGGAGCAGCAGCCTCAGCAACTGATTTTCAAAGAGTTAATCAAGTCATCCCCACCATCAGAAATGGAGTTACAGGAACACATGGTGCTGTATTCATAACAGTTAACTATTTAGACCACACATACATACCTTGTACAAATATACTTAACGTTTATATAACACCTAGTTGTTGTTGTTGTTATGTGCCGTCGAATCGGCCCCAACTCATAGCGACCCCTCCTTGGGTTTCCGAGGCAGTATCACTACGGAAGTAGCTTGCCCCATCTTCCTTCCAAGGAGTGGCTGGTGGGTTTGAACCACCAGCCTTCTGGTTAGCAGTCAAGTGCCTTAGGCACTATGCTACCAGAGCTCCATATGACACCTAAGGACTAGTAAGAGAGTCCTGGTGATACAATGATGAAGTGTTTAGCTGTGAACTGAAAGGCTGGCAATTCAAACTTATCCAGTGGCTCCACAGGACAGATCTGCACCCCTCAAGATTATAGCCTAGGAAACCCTATGGGGCAGTTCCACTCTGCCACCATGAGTTGCTATAAACTGGAATTGATTCAACAGCACCTAACAACAAGAAGAAGGGACTAAGAGGAGAAAAGAAAAGAAAAAGCACAAAATGACAAAGGACGGCATGTTTATGGTTCTTCATTTGTCTTATTCCTCATTCTGAAAAGATGAAAAACTTTCCCTCTTCCCTACAAATGACCCTTCCTCAGCCCCCTCCCTGAGATAGACAGAAAGACAGACAGACACACATATACGTGGACACACACAGATACACATTTAGGACAAAGTAGGGGCTTTTTTTTTTTTTCAATCAAAAGCTGTTGAAATCCAAAAAACCCGACACAAACCTTGAAGCAAATATACAGGCGTTCTCCAAGGCAGAGCTGCCCTAAAAACAGCAGCATTCATTTGGTTGACAGATATTTTCTGAGCTCGCACTATATGTCAAACATTGCTAGGATAAAGGAATAATGGCCTCTCCCGTCATTCTGATGAGGGAAGACAGAAAATAAACAAGCTCGTGACTGCAAACTCTGAACAATGCTATGGAAGAAACAGGACCCAGGGGGGAAAAAAAAGGAGATGGGGCAGGCAGAGACCAAGAATCTCACTGGTCCAGTGAAGAATTTGAGTTTGATTCAAAACACAATTAATTGGAAGGCAACTATGGATTTTAACAAAAACAATGACAAGATCTTCGAGAGGGGGAACAATGGAACTTAATTAGATACTTACGTAAGTAAGTAAAGAACTTAGTTAAGATAGTTCAGTCAAGGAAAAACCAAACCAAAAGCCAAACCCACTGCCAATGAGTCATTTCTGACCCATAGTGACCCTCATGGGGTTTCCAAGGCTGTAAATCTTTATAGAAACAGACTGCTTCATCTTTCTCCCATAGAGTAGCTTGTGGGTTTGAACAGCTGACCTTATGGTTAGCAGCTGAATGCCTTAACCACTGTGTCACCAGAGCTCCTCCTCTGACCAAGGTATACCTCTGTGAATCCTACAGGATGGTGAAGAACAATCATGCAACAAGCAGGAACAGACAGAAGAAACAGCAGGTTTGCAAAACCCTGATGCAGGACAGGGTTCGGTGCATCTGATGAACAAAAAGAGAGCAGAGTGGCTACAGCAGTTTTTCAGACTTCAAGCTGTGTCCCAATGGCAAGCCATGACAAGTAAGAGTTTTTGCTTGTTTTGTCCAATAAAATAGAATGAACAAAATAGAATAAAAAAACATGCCTTGATTCATAAAGGTAAGCTTTACACTTTTGTTTCAGATACCATAATTCATCAAAGTTAAACTGCTACTGATTGAGGACGTATCGTTATTTTACGTAACACTGAGAAAGGAAAGTTGCTGTCCACTACACTATGATATGTTATTGACTGAAAGATGCACCCCTCCTTCAGATCCCTTACGGTCAATGAAATACAGTATACAAGCCCTCTGTATTAGACTGCAAGGTAAAATGTAGTTTGTGAGTTGTGGTCAAACTAGTTCTGAAAATCCACTTGACGAGAGCACAGCAGGAGAGGGAAAAAGTGACCGAAGATGATGGAGAACTTGCAGGCACAGACCAAGAATCTTGTTGGTCCAGTGAAGAATTTGAGTTTGATTCAAAACACAATTAACTGGATTTTCACAAAAAGAATGACATAATCTGATTTCTGTTTTAAAATTAGGCACAAGATACATAAGTAAATTTAAACCAAAATGCATCACAAACAAACAGCTTAAAACCAATAAAGAGAAAATCTTAAAATCATCCAGAGAGAAAGACAAATTACATACAGAGAAACAAAGATAAGAAATATAGTACTTCTCCTTTAAAGAAAAAAAAAAAAGCAGCAAGTTAGAAGACAGCAGAGCAATATCTTTAAAATACTGAAGTAAAAAAGAAAAAAAGAAAGTCACTGTAAAATTATATATCCACCAAAGCATCTTTCAAAAATGAAGGTGAAATAAACAATTTCGCAAACACACAAAAGCAGAGGGATCACAAAACAAAACGTGTCTGGATTGTTGGATGGAAAACCAATTTGCTCAGCAAAGATTCACCCAAATCACAATATTTTTTTTTTAATAAAAAAGCTAATTGAATGTTCACCAGTCAACCTACCCTGTAAGAAATGATAGAAAAGTCCCCTAGACAAAAGGTAAATTTTAAGTAGAAATCTAAATCTACATAAAGGAATGAAAAGAACCGGAAAAATGGTAATACAAAACAAAACTAGAGAGTTGTACAGATTTACTAGTGGACAGATTCATAAATAAAGTTATAATTTACAATCAACTTCCTAGATACTTAGCCCACATTTTCATGGACTCACAGATTTTTTTCTGTCAAAAAATCAGTTTGTTTTTTGACAAGCAAGAATGAGAGCGATCTGTTGGTTTAATGGGTGAGAATACGATTTGTTCAAAGTAGAAATGTAGCTAAGTGCACTATTGTTGAACTCTCATCTGTAACCAAGCTGCAGCCCCTTCTTTGTGGCATGGTACCAAGGACCACCCAACCTCCTCAAGTCCATTCATTCCATGATCACCAAGGACAAAGAGCAAGATTTCTCCCTAGAAGAAAAATAAACCCTTTGTGTTAATAAATACTAGACCAAGGGTCAGCAAACTTTTTATTTAAATGGCCAGACAGTAAATATTTTTGGCTTTGTGGGGCATACAGTCTCCGTCACAACTAGTCAACTCTGCCCTCACAGTTCAAAAGTAGTCATAGGCAATAACTAAAAGTACAAAATGGCCGTGTTCCAATAAAACTTTATTTACAAAAAACAGAGTTGGTTTTTGGCCTGCTGGCTGTAGCTTGTGCACCTCTGGTCCAGATGACTATTAGGTACGAAATCTCTGAAATAAGCTGAGATTGTAGTCAACGACTTTATAACCTAAGTGCTGCTCATTAAAAAAAGTCCCTGGCTTGAACTTGGGGAAGGAAGCCCCGTTCCATTTTCTTATTAACAGCAAAGTTTCCCAATAACACCACATCATTAAAAACATGCTTCATTGTCCCACCAGTGTGGGAAATTTCAATCAGTAATACTGAATCATTTCCATTAAAGTAAACCATCATGGGGCCTTTGAATCATTTCAACACATCAAATGGCAATTCTCTAGAAGGTACAATGTCCTGATTTGTAGTTATTATTGCTTTAGATTTTATTACTGATTGTGAAGGGTAAAAACATAACATAAAACTGATTCTGTTGTGGTTGCAAGAAATACTATAGCCATTCAACAATTACTGAACTGATACGAGTGAGAAAATGGTTAAAAAAAAAAATGCTTTATGCTTCCTTGAAATAAATTTTAAAACAAATGCCCCAAAAAGAAAAAAGTCACCGAATAATATATAAAACCAAAAACAAACCAAACTCACTGCTACCGAGCAGAACCCGACTCCAAGCAACCCTATAGGACAGAGCTGTTGTTGTTATGTGCCGTCGAGTTGGACCCAACTCATAGCTACCACTCCTTGGGTTTCTGAGGTGGTATCACTACAGAAGTAGATTGCCTAATCTTCCTTCCGAGGAATGTCTAGGACAGAGTAGAACTGCCCAATAGGGTTTCCAAGGCTGAAATCTTTATGGCAGCAGAGTGGCTCATCTTTTCTCCATGGAGCAGTCTGCTGGTTCAAACCACTGACCTTTTGGTTAGCAGCCAAGTGCTTTAACCACTATACCACCAGGGCTCCTCAATAGTATATAAAACCAAATAAAAAACCAAACTCACTGCTGTTGAGTCAGATCTGACTGACAGCAACCCCTTCTTGGGCTTCTAAGAAGGTGTCACTACGGAAGTAGATTGCCCAACTTTCCTTCCAGGGACTGGCCAGTGGGTTTGAACCATCAGCCTTCTGGTTAGCAGTCAAATACCTTAGGCACTATGCCACCAGAGCTCCCAATACTAAATACAAGGATAGTAAAATACAGAAAACAAGTTTTGGATTCTCTTAATGCAATTCGAGAGCATTAATTAGATAGTAGGCACAACACCATAAATATTTAGACTCATAGGTTATATCTATATTTAGAAATTAAAACTGAGGTATTTTTCGAATGTATATTCAAACATCATTACAGTGGAAAACAGCAAAATATATCCTAGTATTGTTATGAAAATAATTTTACACTTGGAGACCCCTAGTGGTCTGTGGATCCCACTTCGAAAACTACTGACCTAGGGGGTGCACAGACCAAGGTAGAACAGGCAGGCTGCAGCCAGCTTTGCTGAAGATCACAGAGACACTCTCTTTAGGAGTATTTATGCCTTCACTAATGTTAAAGCCACCATTCATCTGTCCGTTTGTCCTCCTGTGGTGGCTTGTGTGTTGCTGTGAGGCTGAAGGCTATGCCACCAGCATTGTAAAATGCCAGCAG